AAAAAAAAAATTATTCCTGAAAACTACAAAGTTATTCAAGTTTTAATTTTTCAGATTACCTCCCTTTGTTGGTAGTTTGAGAGCAGAATTGGTAAAAAATCACCTAGCAGGAGAATTCATATTACTCGGTCACTTTTAAAGTGAGAAAGGAAACGGATACATCTTTTTGTTCATTGTGTCATTTTCCAGACATTTAAAAGGTTTTGATTGAATTTTTGGGGAAAAAAAGGGATGTATAAGGTAGCAGAGTACAGTAGCGTACGGTGGCCATGGGTGATATTTTTATACAATGAATAACCCCTGTAATATAACATGTATCAAAATTTAAAAAAAAAATCAGCACTAAAATTGGCATATACATGATGAAGTGGACTATGTGGGCTTCATAATTTAAAAAAAAGAAAAGTCGAATTTGGTTTGAGACTACAATTTTGGGCATTTACGAATCTGTGTCTACACAACAAAAGCTAGCTTTTCATGTAGTCTATTTTTGTACTCAGCACATGTGTAAATATTGTGAAAAATCCACCGGAATGACCTATGCTAAAACGTGAGTATTTCTGTTACCGAGTAGGCGATATTTAATTTCAGACAGGTTTTAAGAAAAACAATTCTACTTGCGGGGGTCAAATTCTGGGTTAAAAATCATGATTTTTTGCATATTTTGGTGTTTTTTGATGTGGTAACCATGGTTTTCAGAAGTCCCAAATCTGGGGAAATCACTTTTTGAAAAAAAAAATGTTCTTCTAAAAAACACCTATTAAAAATGTAGTTTATAAATATATATATATATGTAGGTGTGTTGTGCAAGATGAATCCGCTATCCATGTTTATCCGAGACATGCCCTTTATTTTTAAGGTCAAGCCATTTCTACTGTACTCTGCCACCTCTCTCTCAATAATAGATAAATGTAGTGATTTAAACTATGAAAGCCATCTTATGTTGTGTATATACAATTATTTATCTTCTAAGGAAAGGGCGTTAATAATGTTCATGTAACTTGTGCCCAATCCTTTTGCATTTTTTGGCAATAAAATATGTTTAAACTATAAAAACAATGATTATACAAATGTTTATTACCACACTTCTATACTAACTGAATAAACTATGTAGTAAAATTCAGATTGTTTTATTTGTACAAGGGAACATATTGTTACGTTTTTATATTATCCCACAGTGTTACTTTCTGTAATAATTCCGCCGCTGCCACCAGTTCAAATTAATTGAACAACACAATAAATACATTGTACATTGATATTTACACTTTATTTACAACACACGTATTTAAATCCGTCATAAAATATACAAGTGTTCAACATTGTGAACGCAATCTATCCACTCCAAGCTAATCTCCTACTATCAACTGTAAAACTACACAGACCTTAGACTACAATTAAACTACTATTCTTACTAACTTCTCCAACTTTCTAACTCTCCTCTATGTCTCTAGACCTCGCAACTCGGTCTCCCTAATTCAACCTTCTCTATCCAACTCTTCAACTCTACTCCTCTATTCCAACTCTCCAACTTCCAACTCTTCAACTCTTCCTTGCTATCTGTCCCCTTAGCAAAATCCTGCTACATAACAAAAAGTTAACAAGATCCTTGAAACGCCCCTGACGGTCACACTTATGAACAGATCCTAAACTATATCACAATCACAATAATCTACGGCTACTTAGCTACTATAAAACTCTGACACTGACCACGAGCAAAGGCTAATAAAATGCATAGCAAATCATCTGTACACTTTGAACGATTAAACGGCTACTAAATGCATAACAGTATGATAAATTCTTCGGGAGTTGACTATCGTAATGTGATCAAAGGCTAATGAATCAGGGGCTCATTTTCACCATAATAAAACTTACACTCTATACTCCCGTTATAAGACTTATGGAACGTAACACAGTAACATATTAAGGACACGAGTTTCCGTTGTTGACGGGTTAGGATGTCACCCCACTTCCCACCGTATTACTAACACTCTACTGTGTGTCCCTCCTCACTTGTCAATATACAGTCATGGTGAGTATCTTTATTCTGCTTTACTTACATATTTTACCGCCAACTGTTTATAAACGTATATATCTGCTCTGCTTTAGATTAGCTAGGAACTTTAAATCAATCATCTTAATATTTCACTCAAAAGTAGGTGTCATTTTAGGATGGAAAGAGGGAGAGAGAGAGAGAGAGGGGTGTTAAATACAGTGATCCTACCGCCATTCTGAATAATGTTAATAATAGTATAGTGGACATGAAAAAATGTGAAAATAAAAATGCGTTCATATCGTATTTTTTTTTTATCCTTGGACAGTATTTATGTAATATAATTACTTGACAAAATACGTATGCTATGCAATTAAAATAAAAAATCATAATGTTTATCTCATTCATTTATCAGGCTGGTATTCATAATGATTCGAATTGATATGTTCATGCCGGTTTGTAAGCTAATCGGTTAAATCCGTATTCAGCCAGCGCAAATTTAAAAAATCCCCGTTCAATGATAGAGATTTGAATAGCTTACCATCTGCTACATGTATTAGGAAGTCGAATACTCTGGCCAAGTTCAAGAGGGACATAAAAACTCACCTCTTCACGTCTGCATTTTAGAATCTTTGCAAAGACGTCATGTAAATACCACCCTTTTATTTGTTCAATTATGTTTGTTTTCACAATTATAACCATTAATATTATCCATATGTTGTAAAGCGCCTTAGAGTAATTTTACGAATTATATAGGGCGCTATATAAATGCTGTATATTATCATTATTATTATTATTTGATATAAACAGCTCTAAATGTTTGCCTCCTAGGACGTTCTCACGTCATTCGATGCGTCCAGTTGGCATTCATATTGCCCATGAATACCTACCGAAAGCAGTTCATGCTAATATAGGGAACACCAACACGTTATTTTCGTCATCTAACACTACGGTGTAAATAACAACCACTCTGATGTCGCAATTTACCTACATTGTATACCATGACGTCATAAATTCATGACTAAAGCAAATGGTGGTGTGCTTTTGCTTTTCAAGGTTACAAATTCTATAATTGTAATCAAAGTTTCCAAGTACTTGTTTTATATATAGTTATATGCATGCTTTGTATTCGGTTCTGTTCGGTTCAATAAGAAGACTGACAAAGATTATGTTTTTTTTTCATTTTTCAAGCCGATTCAATATTCATATTCATGCGTCTTATTATTGTCAATTAATAAGTTAAGTTTATTTTCCGATAGCGTATCTGAATGACCCTCTTTGCATGATCTTCAAATGTTTAGAAACAAAAAACAAACAAAACAGTTACACATATTTGAAGTTCGGTTATGGAAATCGAATGTTTAACAATGCTATTCCGTCTTTTCGTATGGCAGAGTTATCTGCTCTTGTGAGCAGGTATTGATTGTTACGTCATTAGTTTGTATGAGAAAATTACATTGTTTTCTCAAAAATTTATGACGTTACTGTCACAAACAAATGACGTAACAATCAATACCTGCTCACAAGAAAAGGTAACTCTGCAATACGAAAAGACGGCATAAGTTAGCTCTGGTATTTTATTTCAGTACCTGACCTATCCAATGCCTATCGAATCTGTTTTAATTGTTTTGATGGGGTTTATATCACATCCTCTGGAAAGTTGCTCCATCATTTTACTACTCGTAAACAAAAACAAATGTTTTTCCTTATTTCAATGTTTGAGAATTGTGGACAACGTCTTGTTGTAATGCCCCCTTGTACTGTACCATGTCTTCGCTAAAGTCCTGTCACAATTTAAGGATATCTGACGATTTTATGGTGAATCACGGGCGAATTGCACAATGCTGCTTTGAGTTCAAAATTAACACATCGCTATATGTTATCGCTATATATCGCTCGGTGCTGTAACGTAGGTTTGTCTGAAGCACCTATAGCATAGGTTCACTTAGTTAGTGTATATTGCTTGTGTGAAGTATGACGCTTGGCATTGTGTGAACATTAAAGATGGCTGACCAAGTAACATGTGTTTGAATTACGTGAGACAACTTCTGAGCGTAACATGTGTTTGTATTACATGAGAGACAAACGACAACGTAACATGGTGTCAGATTGGTAAACTTACATAAACCGTAAGTACAAAGAACACGAACATGGCTGATCCGCCAGATAATATACCGCAGGTCAATGTGACGACAACCGCACATGCCATGCCGTTCCCGCCAAAATTGGACTTGAAAGGAAATTTGTCAACAAATTGGCGACGATTCAAAAGAGTATGGACAAACTATGAAATAGCCTCGGGGCTCAATACGAAAACAGAACAAGTGCGTGTTGCAACATTTTTAACGTGCATAGGGTCGGACGCCATCGAAATATTCGAAGGTTTGGAACTATCGGAAGAGAACAGCAAAGTCATCAAAGAGGTGATAGACGCTTTTGACAAGTTTTGTGTGGGCAAAACCAACGAAACTTACGAACGATATTGTTTCAACAAAAGAGATCAAATGCCCAATGAGAGTATCGATACATATCTCTCTGCCTTACGAAATTTGGCAAGAACATGTAATTATGAAGCATTGGAGGAAAGTTTGGTCCGTGATCGAATCGTAATGGGGGTTAGTGAAAACGGCACACGAAAAAAACTGCTCCAGGACTCGAAACTAACTCTTGAAAAGTGTATTGATGTGTGCAGAGCTAATGAGAAAACGTCTCAGCATTTGAAAAGCATGATGAATGAAGAGGTTCAGTTCGTAAAACGACAGTCAAAACACTCTACATCTGAGAAAAGAGAGGGTCCATCATGTTCCAGCTGCGGTTATTCACATCCACCAAAGAAATGCCCAGCATGGGGAAAAGAATGTCTTAAGTGTGGTGGACTAAACCACTTTCAAGCCGTGTGTCGTTCACAACAACAGAAGAAAAGTCGTGAAAAGAAAACAACCCCTACACACTCAGACCGACGAAAAAGGAGTTCAAAAGGAGCAAACATATCGTTCATGAAATTGACACAGATTCCGAGGAGGAAGATGAATATATGTTTTCTGTCGAAGATGTACATGCCATTGGAACAAAACGCATCAACGCGATCATGGGCGTAGGGAATAAAAACATTGAATTCCAACTGGACAGTGGTTCATCAGTTAACATACTGCCAGTGAAGGTTTACATCAAGATACGGAATGACAGACGTCTTGATAAACTTAAGAAATCCAACAAACGACTAATAATGTTCAATGGATCGGAAACAAAACCTGCAGGAACTACACGATGTACTGTAAAGAATCCAGTCGATGGCGAGTCGTACGACCTCGAGTTCGTGGTAGTGAAGGGTGAGGTACACCCTATCCTGGGATCATATGCAATTCAACAAATGAAAATGATAACAGTGCAGAAAGAGAATATCCAAGTGCGAAGTGACAACATAGAAACTGTTAACCTCGTTACTGACAGCATAAGTGAAATCGCGAAAACCGGAGTGTTTGCGGGTGAAGGCAAGCTGACAGGACAACTTCATCTGGAGATAGATGAGGAAGTAAAACCGGTGAAAATCCCAGTGAGGAAAATCCCTTTGGCAGTGAAACAACAGGTGAAAGTAGAGTTGGACAGACTTTCTGAAAAAGGTATTATTGAACCTATTAAGGTTCCTACCGACTGGATTTCATCCTTGGTTGTTGTGTCAAAGCCGTCGGGAAAAATAAGACTGTGTTTAGACCCGAAACCCCTCAACAAAGCTTTACGGAGAAACCACTATGCTATGCCTACTCTGGACGACATATTACCAGAGCTGAGTAAGGCACGAGTATTCAGTGTTGCTGACGCCAAGAATGGGTTCTGGCATATCAAACTTGATCATGAAAGTAGTCTCCTCACCACGTTCGCAACTCCATGGGGTAGATATAAATGGAACAGAATGCCATTTGGTATTTCATCTGCCCCTGAAGAATTTCAACGTAGGATGGACGAGGCACTAGAAGGACTACTTGGAGTCAAAGCAATCTATGATGATGTTCTCATATATGGGTGTGGTGACACCGACGAGCTAGCGGGACAGGACCATGACAGAAACTTGGCAGGGTTGATTCAGCGCTGTGTAGAACAGAACATCAAACTAAATCAAAGCAAGTTGAAGCTCAGACTTGACCGAGTGACCTACATGGGGCATGTTATTACCAAGAACGGTCTCGAAATCGACCCAGAGAAAACAAGGGCGATAAGTGACATGCCTACACCGAACAGCAAAGCTGATGTAAAACGGTTACTTGGAATGGTGAATTATGTTCAGAAATTCGCACCAAAGTTATCAGAAATCACAACGCCACTGAGACAGTTAGTCAAAGAAGATGTCGATTTTGTTTGGGACATGGAACATACCAATGCATTAGAACGGGTGAAAGCCGTGCTAACACAAGCTCCAGTTCTAAAGTACGTTGACCCATCTAAACAAACTGTGCTACAATGTGATGCCTCACAGACCGGGCTAGGGGCGTGTCTGATGCAGGAAGGACATCCCATATCGTACGCCTCAAGGTCCCTTACATCGACCGAAGAAAACTATGCACAGATAGAAAAGGAACTATTAGCTGTGGTTTTTGGAACGGAAAAATTTGAGACCTACACATATGGAAGGCCGGTACTGGTCGAATCGGACCACAAACCACTGGAGGTCATACACAAAAAGAATATTCTGAGTGCTCCGAAACGTTTACAGCGCATGCTGTTAAGGCTCCAGAAATTCGATATCGAAATCCTCTACAAACCCGGGCCAACCATGTATATGGCAGATGCGTTAAGCAGAGCCTATCTTCAGACGGAGTCTAAGGATCGCTCAGTAGCAGAGAAGGAGGTTGAGTATGTAAACATTGTGTTACCTATCACCGAGAAACGGTACAAAACCCTTCGCGAAGCAACAGAACATGACGACGTGTTGCGACATCTCAGGTCTGTAATCCAGCAGGGTTGGCCTGAGACGCAAGATGAACTGCTAGAGTACTTACACACTTACTTCACTTTCCGCGAGGAATTAACTCTTCAAAACGGAATGATATACAAAGGTGATCGTGTGGTGGAACCAGAGACACAGAGACATGAATTGATCGAAAGTTCTCACTCTCATATCGGTATCCAGGGTTGTCTCCGTAGGATCAGAGAGTATCTTTACTGGCCAAGAATGTACAGCGACATCGAAAAGTTTGTCAGCGAGTGTGACACGTGTAACACTCACTCCAGTGATCAGAGGAAAGAGCCTTTGATTCACCATGAAGTCTGCCAACGACCATGGCAGAAAGTAGGAATAGATATATTCACCCTCAACCAGGAGGATTTCCTTCTAATAGTTGACTATTTTTTCAGTTTCTTCGAGGTTGATCGATTACACGACAAAACTGCAAAAGAAATTGTAGGCAAAGTTCGTTCTCACTTTGCACGTCATGGGATTCCCGACACCGTCGTGACCGATAACGGACCACCGTTTGGTTCCAACGACTTCGCAGCATTTGCTCAGTGTTACGAGTTTGAGCATATCACAAGTTCTCCGCTGTACCCTCAGTCAAATGGAAAGGTGGAGAATGCTGTCAAAGTCGCGAAAAGTCTTATGATCAAATCAATCGCGGATGAGAAGGACCCGTATTTGGCACTCTTAAACTGGAGAAACACACCATCGGAAGGACTAGGGAGTTCACCAGCACAACGCCTTTACAGCCGGAGGACTAAGACGTTACTTCCAATGCCAGCACACCTGTTGGAACCTCGAGTTCAGCAGAATGTAACTAGACTGCTGACTGAGCGTAGGACGAAACAAGCATATTACTACAACACTGGTAGTAAAGTGCTCGAAAGGCTTAAAACAGGTGACACAGTGAGAGTCCGACCGCAAGGGCGTACAAAACAGCGGCAAAAGGCTGTTGTACGAGATCAAGTGGACATCAGATCTTACAAAATAAGAACTGAGGATGGACGAGAGTACAGGAGAAACAGAAGGCAGTTACGAAAGACCAACGAGTTAATGCCCGTCAGTTCTAGGCATATTCCCTTATTGGCCGACATGGATCACCCTTCGGAACCTCCGCGAGTGACTGAACCATCAGCGCCACGCGTCTCGCGCATTCCGGTCGAACCACCATCACCGCCACAAGTCTCGCGCATCCCGGTACGCGACCGTCCGAGTAAGTCTGAAACTCCGACAGGAATTCCGAGTGACCCTGCATCTGGGATGACTCCGGATCTGATGACGCCCCAAAAGACGCGATCAGGACGCATCGTAAAGCTACCTGAACGCTTTACTTTGTAACTTGTGACACTCCAGTGCCAATTATAGTGTTAGTTTGTAGTAAAAATTAGTGCGTTCATTTTAAATAATGGTCTAGTCATGATCAGTAATCTGTGAAATAATAACAGACAAAAGTGTAATTGTGACTCGCGAAGAACTGAACTGTGTAACAAGACATACAAAATTTACATAATGCACATATATATGGACTATATTTCAGAACAGTAACAATAATGACTATCTTCCTATATAGACACTCCTAAGTGTGCATCCTTGCTATAGAAATATATTTGAAGAATAGTTTCACTTAGTTAATATATATTGCTTGTGTGAAGTATGACGCTTGGCATTGTGGGAATATTAAAGATGGCTGACCAAGTGACATGTGTTTGAATTACGTGAGACAACTTCTGAGCGTAACATGTGTTTGTATTACATGAGAGACAAACGACAACGTAACAGGTGCAACATTTGATTCTACGCCCCCACGTTCAAATATCCTAGAAACGCCCCTGACGGTCACACTTATGAACAGATCCTAAACTATATCACAATCACAATAATCTACGGCTACTTAGCTACTATAAAACTCTGACACTGACCACGAGCAAAGGCTAATAAAATGCATAGCAAATCATCTGTACACTTTGAACGATTAAACGGCTACTAAATGCATAACAGTATGATAAATTCTTCGGGAGTTGACTATCGTAATGTGATCAAAGGCTAATGAATCAGGGGCTCATTTTCACCATAATAAAACTTATACTCCCGTTATAAGACTTATGGAACGTAACACAGTAACTTATATTAAGGACACGAGTTTCCGTTGTTGACGGGTTAGGATGTCACCCCACTTCCCACCGTATTACTAACACTCTACTGTGTGTCCCTCCTCACTTGTCAATATACANTGTATTTTTTTTTTTTTATCCTTGGACAGTATTTATGTAATATAATTACTTGACAAAATACGTATGCTATGCAATTAAAATAAAAAATCATAATGTTTATCTCATCCATTTATCAGGCTGGTATTCATAATGATTCGAATTGATATGTTCATGCCGGTTTGTAAGCTAATCCGTTAAATCCATATTCAGCCAGCGCAAATTTAAAAAATCCCCGTTCAATGATAGAGATTTTAATAGCTTACCATCTGCTATTAGGAAGTCGAATACACTGGCCAAGTTCAAGAGGGACATAAAAACTCACCTCTTCACGTCTGCATTTTAGAATCTTTGCAAAGACGTCATGTAAATACCACCCTTTTATTTGTTCAATTATGTTTGTTTTCACAATTATAACCATTAATATTATCCATATGTTGTAAAGCGCCTTAGAGTAATTTTACGAATTATATAGGGCGCTATATAAATGCTGTATATTATCATTATTGTTATTATTTGATATAAACAGCTCTAAATGTTTGCCTCCTAGGACGTTCTCACGTCATTCGATGCGTCCAGTTGGCATTCATATTGCCCATGAATGCCTACCGAAAGCAGTTCATGCTAATATAGGGAACACCAACACGTTATTTTCGTCATCTAACATTACGGTGTAAATAACAACCACTCTGATGTCGCAATTTACCTACATTGTATACCATGACGTCATAAATTCATGACTAAAGCAAATGGTGGTGTGCTTTTGCTTTTCAAGGTTACAAATTCTATAATTGTAATCAAAGTTTCCAAGTACTTGTTTTATATATAGTTATATGCATGCTTTGTATTCGGTTCTGTTCGGTTCAATAAGAAGACTGACAAAGATTATGTTTTTTTTTTCATTTTTCAAGCCGATTCAATATTCATATTCATGCGTCTTATTATTGTCAATTAATAAGTTAAGTTTATTTTCCGATAGCGTATCTGAATGACCCTCTTTGCATGATCTTCAAATGTTTAGAAACAAAAAACAAACAAAACAGTTACACATATTTGAAGTTCGGTTATGGAAATCGAATGTTTAACAATGCTATTCCGTCTTTTCGTATGGCAGAGTTATCTGCTCTTGTGAGCAGGTATTGATTGTTACGTCATTAGTTTGTATGAGAAAATTACGTTGTTTTCTCAAAAATTTATGACGTTACTCTCACAAACAAATGACGTAACAATCAATACCTGCTCACAAGAAAAGGTAACTCTGCAATACGAAAAGACGGAATAAGTTAGCTCTGGTATTTTATTTCAGTACTTGACCTATTCATGATCAATGCCTATCGAATTTGTTTTAATTGTTTTGATGGGGTTTATATCACATCATCTGGAAAGTTGCTCCATCATTTTACTACTCGTAAACAAAAACAAAATGTTTTTCCTTATTTCAATGTTTGAGAATTGTGGACAACGTCTTGTTGTAATGCCCCCTTGTACTGTACCATGTCTTCGCTCAAGTCCTGTCACAATTTAAGGATATCTGACGATTTTATGGTGAATCACGGGCGAATTGCACAATGCTGCTTTGAGTTCAAAATTAACACATCGCTATATGTTATCTACCCCGTATATGTTTATACCTTAAATAAAACCTCCATGCACTTTTTTCTAAGTTGTCTTTTTAATGTTATGTGTTGCAACTTTTATTCAATTTCAAAAAAGTGCCTTAAAAAGCGAAACATTTTTAGAGGAAAAAAACTCACTCATTTTGCTACGAAACAGAGGAAACAAACTAGTGTTTTTAGAAATGTTAGATTCAGCAAAAAATGATTTTTGTAGATTTATCCACTTATTACATTTTCCGGTTTTTTTCCTAACTACAAATAGTTAACTTGATTGTTGTTCAGATTTTATTTCAAGTAAACTATTATTAACAGCACACGTATACCTTTATATATACACAGGATGTGTGTGTAGCTTTATTAATTATCGTGCACGTGGTTTCCGGTTTAATGTACACGGTGAACGGCCAGACCACGCCCCCTCTGACGTATGTGACCGGACCAAACGTGTGTGTCATCAATATCACGTAGGTAGACAATGTATATATATATATATATTACAGGGCTTTTTAAGTCGCTGCATGTGTGATATATCGTCTTCCATATTTGGTGTTATCTGTTGATGACGTTGACCAAGCATTCTAAAAACGGTAATTATTTATCAAACTGTAGTATGTTTTGACCATTTGGACAACCCTTCACCTCGTACCTAATCACGTTCGCTAATACCTTCCATGACAAGCCTTATTTTGTTTAAAATGGAATGGTGATATGCGCATGCCTTGTCAGAATGACGCAAAAAGGGCTACTGTATAAGACGTTGGTTAGATTGTTGAGGAATACCGTATCATATTAATCAGGATACATTTTTATGAGTATATTTCAGCGAAATCCGCTGTCATTTTTCACGAGGAGATACGATCGATATATTTATGCAGTATTTGGATAAAAAAAACATGAAAATATATATACAACATTACAAGGTTATAATGATATTTTTTACAGGTTCCAGGAGACAAGGCAAGTTACACGCGCATACAGAATCAAGTATTACACCCGATGTAAATGGAACAGACGTTGCGCCAAGTAGGTATTACTATGATGACATCCCTATCCTATCCCCAGCCCTTCTCACACGCCTAAACAGTTTCTTTGTATGGTAATGCAGACTACAGTGCAAGACTGAGGTACACTAGTACAGCCCGGCCCTGTCATTTTTTTCGGTTGTGGACGGTCGTTTAAAATAAACAAAGCAAATATGTAGTTTCTCATCACATCCCGCCTCCACGTAAAAGATATTTCATAGTAAAACAATAATCATTTACAAAGTGCATCCGGAATGTCAGACATTGAATTTTTTATTTAATTTCATACAATTGAAATACATTCTTCGATGAAAATCTCTTTCCGAAGGTATAGAATTCAGCTGAGGGCACAGAACATCGTCAGCGACGCCTGGAAGTTCGAACCAAGGTGCTGTGACGGATTCGTTCGATCCAGGGACACGTGCATGGAAGGTGACAGTGTGCTTCTTTGTCTACTAGATAGCGCGTATATGTTAGGTGGTGCATAATACAGTTCGTTGACAGCGCGTCGGCTAAAAGACCACAAGGTTGAATGCTTGTATCCCACAGACGACAGGATATGGTTGTGTCTTTCAGCAACACTTTGTTTCTTAATTCCACCGGCTATAGTGGATATTGTCATGGTATGGAGGGGGTATTACAGTTTCCGTGCTGTAGGGATTAAGTAGTAAGGCATAGTTAATGAGCCTTTTGAAATACAGACCCATACCTAGCAGAACATTGTACACAGATTTGCAGAAACCCATTTGAGTATGGTAATTGCGTGGTTCTCATGGCCAGCTTATGAAGTTATATACGGCACAGGCAGAACAGTGTTTAGCGAAGACAATAAGAAGTGCAAAGAGGCGCACCAAACAAACCGAAATAGATCTTAGAAACAATGAAAGACAGAGGTTCAAAGTATGGCATCAGGTCAAGGTTTGTTTCGTTGGTGCCGCAGTCGCATAAAAGTCGCTTTGTACGATTATGCAGTGTGTATATAGAATGTGTTGTCTTATTTACCTGGACAACGTAGACATCGTTTGTGCTGAAGTTACAAAGATCCTCTATATGCTCCTTATACGCATCAAGGCAAACATAACACAACACCTAAAAAGCAAATAGCTGCTCCACCGATAGCACGGACGGAGTCGGCATTTATTCATAAATATAATATGAATATCATCAATAAGCATTAACAAAAACTACTCTGACTTCGTTTACACTGAAACAATCCTCCCACATATACCCTTGCATGTTTCATCGCCATACAAATGTAAAACAAAGCGCGCCACCCAACCTGAAAACCTTATAATACGCGACAGGAGGTGTACCAGCTCGACAATGTTTAAGTTTTTTTTTTAAATTGATGCTGGGATTTCTTACATATGACGATGCCACACATACACCTGTTTCCTAAACATAAAATTCTGCTATAATTTTATTTCAAACTGTACTACGCCGTGCGAGGTGCGAAGCTAGAATGGACATACACGTACCCGTAAACTACCCTTAGCATGTGCCTCAATCTGATTGGTCAAAACCTCTGCACTAGACAGGCAGTTGCCCTCATATACTCCGTGTATACAGGACAAATATTCACCTCCGAAACGCGGGAAAGTAATATTAATTTCCCCTCCTCATTTGTAATCGGTGGCAAGGACGTTAGGTTCATGTGGGGATAACTATTTATCATATTTCGTTAAAATCTCTCTGGTTTTAATGCAAGCTGTAATTTGATTTTTATATAGTCCCATCATATTTGTCAAATTTTCTGTTTGGACGTGCATTCAAGACTTTTAACTAAAACGTGTTACCACAGATTCGTGTTTTTTATAAATTATAAAATGTATTTTTCATAACAGCTAAATGAATAGTTCCTTATAGATGTATGTTATGAAGAAATTTACCAAACCTGAGTTTATATGCCGCCACCAAAAGTGCAACATGTTATGTTTTCCCGCTGTCTGTTTACGTAAATATATGACGGACCGCAACTTGTCACACAGGTTTCGACAGAATCGTTTCAAATTCGGTGTGCGTAATGATAATCTATTTCCATAAGTAAGGGATATTGTGTGTACTTTTACGATAGCGATGATCTTTTCTTAGCCCTCCAGTACAGTAATCGGAAATCGTCGGTACTTTCCGTAATTCCGTAAACGAGAAAGTATTCTCTCGTTTTCGGAAAGTGCCGACGGTGCCCGGTCGCAAACTTAAGAAAGAAATAGCGAAGTTTTAACAGATTTTGTAAGTTGACAAGAGCCATTGAAGTAAACTATGTTTTTCCATTTGAACACATTCATGAAATAAATATGATAAAATGCACTATTTTTTGTTTGTTAGGAACGTCATTTGAAATTGTTATTGTTGACACCTTGCACTTCAAATGTCATAGTTATTTACTATGAAATTAACATCGACATGAACAATATACATACAGGTTTAGTTCGGAATACATGCTATCCGTCTCCCTGACCGCCTGCAGTATTATAGTGCGATTGGGCGAAATGTTTCCATGATTTTTGACAGCTGAATTGTGAGTTGTTTTCAGCGGTTTAGAGTCGAGACACCGGTCATTTGCACTCTTTGCTTGACAAAGGAAACGGACGTTTTTGAAAGCTCGCAAACCAAGTTTTCAATTCCTGTTTGTGTTCCAAACAAACTTAGCCTTTATTACAGGTTTTGTATTTCACCAAATTATGTTCTGCTGTGCTTCGCTCTTGTTTAAAAGTCACTTTGTAAAACTGTCAATTTCTGATCGCTTTTACAGTGCTTGCCGACAAGATCCAGACACTTGACACCGGAACTGACGTCACAGACTATTCAATATGGCCACCGATCATCGGTACTCTTATGGCTATCTTCGCTATTTCTACCATTGCCATCATCATTGTACTGAAACGGAAATCATCATCAGCAACAAGGTTTGTGTGTACCGAAATTTGAATGGAAGTAACAATTTCTTTTTGTAATAATGAAGTTTGTTTGACAATAACGTGGTTTGTGTGACAATAATTAACGTGGTTTGTGTGACAATAATTAACGTGATTTGTGTGAAAATAACGGGGTATGTGTGACAATAACGGGGTATGTGTGACAATAGCGGGGTATGTGTGACAATAATTAACGTGGTTTGTATGGCAATAACGTGATTTGTGTGACAATAATTAACGTTGTTTGTGTGAAAAAAACGGGGTATGTGTGACAATAACGGGGTATGTGTGACAATAGCGGGGTATGTGTGACAATAATTAACGTGGTTTGTGTGACATTAATTAACGTGGTTTGTGTGACAATAATTAACGTCGTTTGTGTGACAATAATTAACGTGATTTGTGTAAAAATAACGGGGTATGTGTGACAATAACGGAGTATGTGTGACAATAATAGGGTATGTGTGACAATAATTAACGTGGTTTGTGTGACATTAATTAACGTGGTTTGTGTGACAATAACGGGGTATGGGTGACAATAATTAACGTGGTTTGTGTGACATTAATTAACGTGGTTTGTGTGACAATAACGTGATTTGTGCGACAATAATTAACGTGATTTGTGTGACAATAATTAACGTTGTTTGTGTGACAATAACGGGGTATGTGTGACAATAACGTGATTTGTGTGACAATAATTAACGTGATTTGTGTGACAATAATTAACGTGATTTGTGTAAAAATAACGGGGTATGTGTGACAATAACGGGGTATGTGTGACAATAATTAACGTGGTTTGTGTGACAATACCGTGATTTGTGTGACAATAATTAACGTGGTTTGTGTGACAATAACCTGATTTGTGTGACAATAATTAACGTTGTTTGTGTGACAATAACGTGGTTTGTGTGACAATAACGTGGTTTGTATGACAATAACGTGATTTGTGTGACAATAATTAGCGTTGTTTGTGTGACAATAACTTTGTTTGTGTGACAATAACTTTGTTTGTGTGACAATAACGTGGTTTATGTGACAATATTTACATTCTGTATGCTTAGACCCATTGACAAAAATTACATTCATAAATGCATAACACAGGTGTTCATAGAATCTCAGCACGTGGAAACTGATAGTAACCTGATCACACTGCGTAGTAATACACTACAAAAACTACTCACTCGGAACGACCGACCTAGATGCTTAATTCTTACATCTTAAAATATTATTGAACTGTGCTTTGTGAAATATCCACGTATTTACGTGTCCTGTGCTACAAATAAACATTGAATATGGAACTACATTTTGTTGTGTTATTGTTGTTGACGGTTGCTAAGATCTCTCACGATAGTGTCACATTTCCCCGCGAAAAAACACTGTTCTCGCCACTGCATTGCACCCGTGTATAAGCAGGAACAAACCCTGTTTATTTTTTTAATTCGTTGTTATATCGATCCACTGAAAGGATTCGTCAATGTAAATATAAGGAATGATATTTATTTTTTCAACATCTATGAGGTCATAACAACAATGGGTTTTTGGACATATTTTACATGAATCGCTAACGCGATTCATTCAATATGTGCATAAACCCATTGTTGTTATGACCTCATAAATGTTGAAAAAATAAAAATCATTCCTTAAATAACGTGGTTTGTGTGACGATAACGGGGTATGTGTGACAATAATTAACGTGGTATGTGTGACAATAACGTGATTTGTGTGACAATCATTAACGTGGTTTGTGTGAGAATAACCTGATTTGTGTGACAATAATGAACGTGGTTTGTGTGACAATGACGTGGTTTGTGTGACAATGACGTGGTTTGTGTGACAATGACGTGGTTTGTGTGACAATAATAAACGTGGTTTGTGTGACTATAATAAACGTGGTTTGTGTGACAATACCGTGATTTGTGTGACAATAATTACCGTTGTTTGTGTGACAAAAACGGGGTATGTGTGACAATAGCGGGGTATGTGTGACAATAACTTGGTTTGTGTGACAATAACGTGGTTTGTGTGACAATAACGGGGTATGTGTGACAATAATTAACGGGGTATGTGTGACAATAACGGGGTATGTGTGACAATAACGGGGTATGTGTGACAATAGCGGGGTATGTGTGACAATAATTAACGTGGTTTGTGTGACAATAACGTGATTTGTGTGACAATAATTAACGTTGTTTGTGTGACAAAAACGGGGTATGTGTGACAATAACGGGGTATGTGTGACAATAACGGGGTTTGTGTGACAATAACTTGGTTTGTGTGACACAAACAAAGTCGGCATCAGTGAAAGACGTGTTTACATATATGTAGTACGATTTCAATGTTATTGTTTTTTTCTTCTATAATTTTGTGTATTATCATATCCGTGTTATACAAACGTAATCAAACGTCTCTGTCTGTTCTAGAAATGGATCCAGCCCTGTCGGTAAGTGAACATTGATAATTATCATTTTTATAAATTTACAGGAACTGGTGAAAATACCGCCGTTTATTACAGTAAAAATCTTATGTAAGGCAAGCACCTCACTATCAATGCACATACTTTGTCCCCTTTCATTTTAACTTACTACTAACATAGTTGAAGATCCTCTCTAGTGTTTTTTTCCTGTAAGAAAAACTTAAATATAATTTTCAAAAGAAACAAGCAATTAGAGACCAAGACATAGAACGGATTCCATATTTGGGGAGCCCCATACATGTATTTGACCTGATTAGCAAGTACGCTGGTAAAGAAATCTTACCCTTCGTGCAATAAAAACAAATAAAACTTTGTGTATGTGAAACTTAAAAGACACCAGAGAAGGACTTCTTTTATATATGCTTGTTTGATTTTTATCATATTAACTAATTAAAAACGTTTATTGATTTTAAAAATACGTCAATCCAAGTGTTTCAAGTAATCATTTCAGAACAAAATATTGGTAGAAATATGAATGCTTTTGTGTTCAACTATCTGAGGATGAATCCCAGGATGTGTTTATTTTTACCTTTTTTTCCTTTTTTAAACTATAAAAACATTTCTGATATATATTAACTTTGAATCAATTATATCGGGAAGATTTTACATTGTATGTTAAGTCAATTAGAAAAAGAAAATTTACCAATAAATAAAATGTTGGTGCTAAGTGTTTATAATTTTGAATCTTAGAATTGTATCTGTTTATGTTTAATTTTTAACATCTTAGAAAATTTAAGTGATTCAATTAATTTCTAGATATACGTGATTACAATAAAGCAATTAGGTACGACAGCTCGTTTATTTCACTAGGACCGCTTAATGTCTTCTCAATATCATAAAGTAATGAAAATACCTGATTATTATTCTCCCTTTATTTACTAATTAAATGTACTGATAGAAAAAAACAATCATTCATCAAAACATTTTTTTATTGCAGAAATTCGTGCTATTGCCAACCATATATATGCGGACGCCATGCCATCCGTAAGTCACTCGTACGAAACGCTGGACGCCAGCCAAGCCACGAAATCTCACTCCTACGAAACGCTGGATACCAGTCGTGTGGGGTTGACTCAGAATATCTACGATAGCATTGATACGTATAAAATACTTCAGAGTGGTTCAAAAAAATAGATAATACCTAGTGACGACATTTTACGCAAGACATTTTACAAGAGATATTCTTTCCCGGAAATCGGTATTAGTTTATGATTGATGTATGTCCATGTAACGTTCATTGTCAAATACATTGTAAGTGTTTTTTACTCTAGAAAATATGTCATTTTATTTTCGAAATAGCAATTGAATATCAGAATGTTCTGAATGATTTAAAGGATCTTCAACGCCAATAAACGTTTTTGTTATTTATTTATCTAGATGTGTTTTTGTGTTTTGTTTAATTTTACTTCTTTCCCCTTTTAATTAAGCATTGAACTGTTTTTGTATATATAGCGCGCATTATGAGTTGTTTGCTTGCAAAGTTGTGTCATTCAAATAGATCATAAATACCATACAAAAACAGTTCAATACTTATATTTACGTTTTCTCTGCCTCTTATGTTCTTTTTTAACTTATAATTTATTTTTAAAATTTAAAATGCCCGCCTTATCGACAGTCCACACAATTTCGTTCAATAGTTTGAACAGCGTGTTTGTCGTGTGCTGATTGGCAAACAAAGTAGTATTTTGAAATTTTAACAAACACTTCAATGTTATTCCACAATTCAGTATTAATACAATTGCGTATGATATGTCTATAGGGTGATTTAAGTTTATCAATAGAACTCTGAGCTGAAAATTAGATTTGAAATTGTTTTGATTTTTCCCCGGAACAAATTTAGCGCATGGATAAATACAGTGAACACCGTAAATCCAACCTTGCCCTCCACGAGGGAGTTATTTTTGGAAGTTAATTCGAACTTTTCACTTTGCTCATTTTTGTGAAGAATCCAGACGTGAATTTATTTGTTGATTGTATGGAAATCTGACTACAGTCTGTAGATTCTATAACAGCCTCGTTATTTGACATGTCGTCAGAAACTGAGGAAACAGTGGCTGCGAGACCCGTGAAACTGATAGCGTTTGAAGTGAGTGATCTTGCGACGGAGCACAGGGGTTCATTACAAATGTCTGAAATGTTTATGTGTTCTGTGACTCATATCAGTAGGTCTGTAACATATGTGTCAGTAGGTCTATAAAATATGTGTATTTCAGACATTTGTAACGAACCCCTGTTGATCAGTGCAGTGTAACAGACGATATTTCTGATATAAAATTGGATGAGCGTTAAAAAATGTTTCCATTGCTGGCATTAAGTGATTTCAGCCGATGTGCATTTTGTACGATATTGAAGACCTTGGTCTTGATTTTGTTGTAATAAAAGTATTTTTTATTTTATTTTTTATTTTGCACATAAATTTATAATGACATTGTCAAATCTCACAATGCCAAGCGATATTTCAGCAGCCGTCATGTTTATTTACATTGGATATTGTAGTTCCGGTCAGTGTTGTATTAATACGCTAAGAATTATGTCTCGTGCTGCATGGTAATTAAAGCCCCATCAACTACACAGCTTTCAAAGAGGCTATATAGTGACAATGCCATGCAAATGTAAATATTCAACCTTTAAAGTCACTTGCGGTCAAACGTTTCATAGTGTTTTTAACCGAAATACCTTTCAGTCAAACACCTAAATCGGAAGTGTAATATTACAGTCATTTAGACGTACAAAACCTTGTTCAAGCTGCTGATCTCTGGCGCCAAATACGAAGTGACAACTAAGTCCTTGTATTTAATGCCTCCCGTATCCGAAGGTCATTCTGACCTTGGAAAAAGCAGTTTATTTCTACATAGCATCATAGCGTGTCCTACTGCAAGTGGAACAACCAACAAAAGATTGTCACGGCGAACAGCAGACGGTTAAAGAGTCATGGAAAGGGATTCATTTGAATCGTTCCTAACCTCAAACATTTTGACCTTTTTAGACGATTTAATGTTTGAATCAGACTAATCTAGAGCTTCCATGTTTATTTCCTTTTTTAAGAGGTAATGTCATCACAGGAAAATAAGCGTTAATAATCTTGTACAGAACATATTTCATTAGCCAAGGTATCATAGAAACATCAGTCTTAACGCCAATTACACCGTCTTTATGAAAAACCCCAGGAATTCGTCTTAGATTAGACATCTTTACCAATCCTTACATGATTTAATACAAGACTCTATCAAAGACGCCATTTTCCCCAGGGGAGTATCAACATCCGTATTTAACTTAAAAGATATTTCATGGGTTAATAGTTTCCAATTTGTCTCATGAGAATTGTGAATGATCATTCGTTTGAACGTACAGTGCAGTAATTAGAATATAAAACTAACAGAAAACAACACCAGGAACTAGCTTGATTTACCATCAGGCGAGGAGCCTTGGAAAATACATTATTGAGCGATCCTTGAGTGATTTACCATAAGGCGAGGAGCCTGGGAATAGACCCTATTGAGCGATTCTCACGTGATTTACCATCAGGCGAGGAGCCTGGGAACAGACATTATTGAGCGATCCTTACGTGATTTACCATCAGGCGAGGAGACTTGGAATAGACATTATTGAGCGATTCTCACGTGATTTACCATCAGGCGAGGAGCCTGGGAACAGACATTATTGAGTGATCCTTACGTGATTTACCTTCAGGCGAGGAGACTTGGAATAGACCCTATTGAGCGATTCTCGCGTGATTTACCATCAGGCGAGGAGCCTAGGAATAGACATCATTGAGCGATCCTTACGTGATTTACCAAAAGGCTAGGAGCCTAGGAACAGACATTATTGAGCGATCCTCATGTGATTTACCATCAGGCGAGGAGCCTTGGAATAAACCCTATTGAGCGATCCTTACGTGATTTACGATAAGGCGAGGAGCCTGGGAACAGACTTTATTGATCGATTCTCACGTGTATTACCATGAAGCGAGGAGCCTGGGAATAGACATTATTGAGCGATCCTTACGTGATTTACCATAAAGCGAGGAGCCTAGGAAAAGACATTATTGAGCAACCCTCACGTGATTTACCATAAGGCGAGCCAGGGAATAGACATTATGGAGCGATCCTTACGTGATTTACCATAAGGCATAATGCTTGATAAAACATGATTTTGTTTGTGGATTTGATTGGCTCATACAAGTGAACGCTAAAATAGTCAAGCGTACTGTTCTATCAGAGACCTAAAGTAAAGGGACCGCCGACTCCCAGTGGCGGGAAAATATGTTACCGATTTCGCAGTGCCCTCACCGGGTGTCATACAATATCAAGGCCGATAACTCGTACCGTCTATTCGCCATTGGTAAACACTCGAGTGCTGTCGATAGAAATTTTGTTAAGCATCCATTTCACACAACATGAATTAAACGAACTGTTTGAGGTATGTGTGTTATTCTAATAGTATATTCCCACACCTGAAATAGAAAAAAAGCAATACCTAAAGCATTATTCGTGTTCAATAACATAATGTTCACGAAGCAGCCGAGTCGGCTTTTTTCAGTTTTTAGTCTGTGGTTTCACTTTCACTTCACCGGTCAGGTGCCGTTCTGGTGATAACCTCTTGTGAGAACATTCGCCTATTTTGTATGTCAATACTTGTCCACAATATATTTGT